GTTGAAATAATGAAGAGCACCAGCTATATAAAGCATGCAAAAGAAAAAAAAAAAAACTGATAGGTTAAACCTCCTGCAAGTGCTTTGTATTTACTATCATCCTCCTCCTCATCAAATGGTCCTGCCTTTGTACATCTATCATTCATCCATCCATTCATTCATTTATATGTTTACAGAGGCTGCTTGTGTTTACCATCTCAGGGAACACCATTAATATTCACTAAGTTACCAGGACATTCTTAATTCCCTCCTCTCTCATACCTCCACCTGCTCCATCTTTTCTCAGCCAGAACAGTGACCATATCGTTGCTTCTACCTCTAAATTTTCTCAATACCTACAGCCACTCCTCTAGTTCAAGCCACATCATCTTTCTCCAGGTTTACTGAAACAGTCACCTTTTCTCCAGCCTTGCAACCCTGTTCTTCATGAACCGCAGCCAGAGTGATTTTTCACAACTCTGATCCGAGGGCATTTTACTACTACCCTGCTTAAAACCCTCAATGGTTGTCCAGTGTTTTCAGGATAAAGACCAAACTCCTCAACCAAGCTAACAAAGGTTTGTAGGATCCCCACCAGCCCTGTCTCTTGACTCTTATACTTCAGCTTTAGTGAACTTTTTAAAGATCCTCCTGAGCACCATGCCTTCACCTCTAGGTCTTCGCACTTGCTGATCCATCTATGCTCTTCTTGCACCTCTTTTCCAGACTCACCCTTACCTGTCCAGATTCTATTCCTCCAAAGTCTTCCCTGAATCATCATCCCAATTTAGGGATATAGCAATATTACATGCTTCTATTTTGCTGCACTCTATACTTTTAAAAATAAGATCCTTAAGGTGGTTAACAGTCTTCATTTATTCTATGTCACTATAGAAATCAGAGTTAAAATTAGTACTAGAATTACTCCTAAATGCAATAGATGCTTCTATTGCAGATAAAGAGTTTTAAGAGAAAAATAAGTTTATAGTTTAATAAAACATTACATGCTATTTGAAAAATATAGACTTTGTTGAGAATCTTTTTTTATTTGAAATTTTCCTTTTGAAATGTTTGGCAGAGATCCAACCCGAATAACTTAATTTTATATTAGATATAATTTTTAGTTTGTCAAAAATTTTGTGGTATACAATTTTTTTAATGAACTTAAGATCAGTTTGCCTTTACACATGATAGATTAAAATAATGTATGGGAACATACATAAACACTAACATAAAAAATAAAAAACTAAGAACAATATCTAACTATCCATTAACAGGGAACTGCTCAAATAACTCATGGGACATTCATACAGTAGACTAATTTAACCACTTCAAAGAATAAGATAGAGCTATAGGTACTGATATGAAAAGATGTGTACTTTGTTGTGTGAACAAAAGCAACCTGTGTAACAGTATACGTAATGTTACTGGGATCACAGAGCTTTTCAAAATTATGTGTGTGTGTAACAAAGAAGACATGCTGAACATAAAACATTTTTTTCAACAGCTAACTATCTATATAAAGTGAGCCCTTCACCATAGCTAATATTATACTTTCTTAGAGAAACATTTTGGGAGGCCGAGACGGGCGGATCACGAGGTCAGGAGATCGAGACCATCCTGGCTAACACGGTGAAACCCTGTCTCTACTAAAAATACAAAAAACTAGCTGGGTGAGGTGGCGGCGCCTGTAGTCCCAGGTACTCGGGAGGCTGAGACAGGAGAATGGCGTAAACCCGGGAGGCGGAGCTTGCAGTGAGCTAAGATCCGGCCACTGCACTCCAGCCCGGGCGACAGAGCGAGACTCCGTCTCAACAACAACAACAACAACAACAAAAAAAGAAACATTTATGTTGTATGACAGTAGGCAGAAATCTCTATGAGTCACCACTTCAGCAATACCCAGCACATGACTAATGGTCATAATACTATAAATTCTAGGATGCTTACAGAGGCAAAGATGACATTACATTTAGTAATCTGCTACATTTTATTACATTCTAGATTTTTGGAAATTTGTAACACACTTATGAAATACATGGTGGCTTTCTGTTAACGAAAACACCCTACCTACTCTGTAACAATGTAATCAAATGAAAACACTTTGAGTTTTTAGGAGAAACGCTAAAGAAATACAGTTATAATTATGGTCTGTATCTCATAAACATTACTTCTGAAGCATTTTTCTATGACAACTAAACTCTAATTAAAAATGAAGAAACTCAATGTGAGACAAATTGGCCAACAGACTCAAGTTTCCTATTCTCTCAGATTCTATGTCCACTGCATGATTCATTAGATATGTAAAGATATATCTAATATAATTCTATGTCCATTGCATGACTCATTAGATATGTAGTGGTATATCTAATGTCAAAGTATGAAAAGCAACAATAAGTAAAATACACACATTGCTGTAAGAAAGTAAAACATAAGAATACATATTAAGTTTAATCTCTTACTTTCCTCATCATCAACAGCAAGCTCTTCAGTAATCTACCCAAATAACTGAACCTTTCCTATTATCTACAAACTTAAATTGATAGCAAAAAAAATGGAAGAGTAGCTTAGTAAAAACAGAGTGAATAAACAAAAATTAAATGAGAAATATAAATGAGGAGATACTACTTTTGAAATGACCAATTCTCCAAACATCATTTCTATTTATCAAATATAAATTAGGAACATCACTTCTGAAGTGGCCATTCTCCAAACATCAAAACTCCAAAATATCATTGGTTTTTTACTAATAGCATGCATTTTGTTGACACTATTCTTTTATCACATTTTGATTTACCATCACAAGTTATTTCTCGTTATTTTAAAATCCATAACGTATTCAAAATAAACCCATACCCACAGTAGAAATTAATCTCGGTCACACTGACGATCCAGTGCAGGAAAGTTACTTAATGTCAGGAATATAAAGGTGTGTAACACAGAAGAAAGCCTGCACTTAATTCCAGGTGAACCCTAGTAAGTGATTTCCCTTCTTTGAGCTTCAGTTTTGTCCCCTATATAATAGAGATAACGGCCGGGCGCGGTGACTCATGCCTGTAATCCCAGCGCTCTGGGAGGCCGAGCCGGGCGGAGCACGAGGTCAAGATATAGAGACCATCCTGGCCAATACGGTGAAACCCCGTGTCTACCAAAATACAAAAATTAGCTAGGCGTAGTGGCACACGCCTGTAGTCCAACTACTAGGGAGGCTGAGGCAGGAGAATTGCTTGAACCCGGGAGGCAGAGGTCGCAGTGAGCCGAGATCGCCACTGCACTCCAGCCTGGGCGACAAAGCAAAAAAAAAAAAAAAAAAAAAAGATATAACATGAACACATTAACTACATTTTAGGATTGCTAAGAGGTTTAACAATAAGTAAAGAACACAATACCTGGTATATAATGATGTGTTTGATAAATAGTAATCCACGTGTTTATGTGTCAGATACTGTTTTAAATGCTATACATGTATAATTTAGTCAACGAACAATAATTATCCCTATCTCTGGTACTGCCTTCACCTTCTACCTCTCCCCACCCTTTGGGGACAACTCAAAACTTTTTATCCAAGTTAAACAGCAGAGAAATAATAATAACTATGTATCACGCACTGTGCTAAATTAGTTACGTGGAATTTCGTTTAATCCTTACAACAACCCTCTCATTAATAAAGTAGGAACTATTATTAACTTTATTTCACTGACTAGGAAATTTAGACTTAGACGGATTAAATAATGTGTCTAAGGTTAGATATCCAATAAAGTCTGATTTCAAAGCCCCCATGCTTAGCAACTCTGTCACACTAAAAACAAAAAATTACTAATTATAATTCATTAATGTCATATAGCAAACACCTACTGTTCAATGACAGTTGGTTTCGAATGAGATTTTGAAACAGATGAGTCAGACAACAGGTATCAGGATCTACACCAGATCAGCAGAGTTTCCACTTCTGTCATTTGAAACAATTCCAATCTGTTCCCAAAGGGGATCTGAGGTGGTGAGAATTTCAATTTCTAATCATTTAAGTGCCAAGATAGGTGATCAGATAGCGATTCACAAAGCGGTTTTTTTGTTCTGTTTTGTTGTTTTTTGTTTTTTTGCTCTCCACACAAGCGAAGCAAAACCCAGGCTCTGACCTAGACTGGGTTTGCAAAAAATTACCTCTTAGTAACGACTGGGGATCAGCTATTCCACCACGCCATGCCACAAAGCACTCTAAATTTACAACATTCAATCCCTCGGTGTGAAAAGATTAGGAAAGGAACCAGGGGTGACTGCATAGAGGAGCACGCCCTCCAGAACTTTCCTCTGACTTCCAAGGCACTCTACAAGCCTTCCCTTTCTTTTGTCAGCCTCTCCCCGGGCAGTCCTCCAAACTGAGGGTTGTGGGCGGAAGGCATCGTGCAGGGTCTCCAGCTCTATTCCCCAGTTCCGCACATGTGGGCGTTCTAGACCCCGCATGGACTGGGAGAAAAAATAGGGAAGAGCCTATAAACCTTGCTAGAGGGCAAGAATAACTATCTCTTTCTCTTTGCAGGGCCAGAGAGTTCATCAATTCTTTTTGAGGGTGATGAGCTGAAAAAAAGCGACCCTCTAAGTGCAAGGCGCTTAGGGATGAGGGTGCCCCTGGACACCCTACAGTAGCTTCAGGCTCTGATACCACTCTGGATTTAAAGCAGGGCGGGTAGTGGCTGGATCCCTCCTTCCCAGCCGAGTTCGCCCACACCAGCAGCCCCAACCGCCCCGCACACCTGTCGCCCCTCTCTCCGCACTTGGGTGGACAGGTGAAGGCAAGCGCAACTTCACCTTGACGGCCCCAGGGGCCAATCAGAGCACGCGACTGCCGCAGCCAGGCAGTCGCAGAGCGTCCCGGCTCCCGCAGCCCGGGGACCCAACAAACCTCCGCTTCGGGGCCTCAGAGCGCTGGGGGCTCCTGGAATCCTCAGGCTGAGGCGCGGAGGCCCCGAGATAGCGAGTAAAAGTTCGCGAGGAAAAGAGAAGGCAAACAGGGAAGTACTCACCAGGCGCAGGAGGGTCACTTCTCCCACCAGGGCAACAACTCGGCTCAATCCGTGCGGGGCGGATACGCCCCTAACCAACCGCTGCCGCCGCCGCCGCCGCCTGGGCCTCCGGGTCAGTAGCCGCTCGCCGCCGCCTGTTTCGAAGGGACCAATCATATGGCGGGGGGCGTGGTCTGAGGCCCCGCCCCCGGGCCGCAGGAAAGCACGCGACCGGAGAGCGCTCGCCTGTCAGCGCCTCCAGCGCTGCGCCTCTGGGCGTCTCGGAGCTTCGGTGGCCAAGTCCCTCTGTCCACTGAAAGGCGAAGTGGTTCAGTCCGAGCAGGTTCTCCGATCTGGCCCCTCAGCGACAGCCAGATCGAAAGGCACAGCCCCTCCCGTTGTTTCCACAGGCCTGAGAGGTGAATGAACCTCGCCTCTAAGAATTGCTTCTGAGCGTCCTGGAATGTTGCGGTGCAGCTGAAGGCGCTTCCCTGAGTTTTATCCTGATCTGTTAAGAGCCGCTCCCAAACCCACATCCACTGGGGAGCTGGCTGGCCTGGCGCCACGGTTTCCAGACACAGCCTGGAACCCAGCAGGAATGGGGGTCCTCAGCAGAAATCTTTCAGAGAGAGGCCCCTCTTCTCAGGTGTGGAGGGATGAGGAGGAATCCTGTAGCCCCAAGTCACAAAAGGAGGATGTTGGCTCTTCAGCAAACACGGGAGCCTGAAAAAAAAAACAAAAAACAACAACTTCAACGTCAGGGATGTTTACTAGCTCCCAGGGTTGAAATAAAGCCGAGATGGCCGGGCGCGGTGGCTCAAGCCTGTAATCCCAGCTCTTTGGTAGGCCGAGACGGGCGGATCACGAGGTCAGGAGATCGAGACCATCCTGGCTAACACGGTGAAACCCCGTCTCTACTAAAAAAAACTACAAAAAACTAGCCGGGCGAGGTGGCGGACGCCTGTAGTCCCAGCTACTCGGGAGGCTGAGGCAGGAGAATGGCGTAAACCCGGGAGGCGGAGCTTGCAGTGAGCTGAGATCCGGCCACTGCACTCCAGCCTGGGCAACAGAGCGAGACTCCATCTCAAAAAAAAAAAAAAAAGAAAGAAAAGAAAAAGAAATAAAGCTGAGACTAGACATCAACCTAACAACGTAACAATCCGAAGTCGGTTATATCTGTAAATGTGGCTTGTTTCATAGCAAAAATAAATAAATTAAAAAAAAAATCACTGGCTTTGTCCCCGAGGCCTGTGTTGCAATCCAGGCCCCTTTTTTTTTTTTTTTTTTTTTTTTTTTTTTGAGACAGGGTCTTGCCCTGTCACCCAGGCAGGAGTACGGTGGCAGGATCTCGGCTCACTGCAGCCTTGATATCACGGACTCAAGCGATCCTCCCACCTCAGCCTCCAGAGTAGCCGGGATTACAGGCATGTGCCACCACACCAGGCTAATTCTTGTGTTTTTTGTAGAAATGGGTTTTTGCCATGTTACCCAGACTGGTCTTGAACTCCTGAGCTCCAGTGATCCTCCCACTTTGGCCTCCCAAAGTGCTGGGATTACAGGCATGAGCCACCTCACCTGGCCCTATTCACTCTTTTAACCTTCCTCAAATCACGTCTCCTCTCTGGGCCTCAGGTCTCCATCTGTGAAGGGTGGGCACTGAATTGGAATGACACCTCTCTCTAGCATTTATTCCTTCCTTCACTCGACAAAACAATGAGATGTACTGTTGCTTGCTAAAGAAACTGAAATGAAAACAGCCTTAGGCTTCAAAGTGCTCAGCAGTGTGGTAAAGGCCAAATGGAAGTCTGTGGAGGTCTGTGAGAGAAGGAACCCCTAACAGTCTTGGAGGGTGATGATGGCAGAGGTTTGAAAGGAGCTAAATTTTGAAAGATGAATTAAGACTCTGCCAGGAGGGAGGGGTAACTGGGAATAAGAATTAATTTCCAGGCAGAGAGAGCAACAAAGACAAGGTTCCAGAGATGTGAGAGCACATGAAATGTTCTGGGAATACTCATTTTGAATGACTAAAGTCTGCAGATTGGGAGACAGATCAGGTGGGAGAAGTAGGCACAGATGAAAGGCCTGGTAGATGCTGAGGAATTAAGTTTCTTTCCCACAGGCAATTGGGATGATTATAAGGAAGGACTGGTAGGAACAGATTTGTGTTTTAGGGGAAAAAAATTTTTTTTCAAAGATGTTTGAAGATGGTAGTAAGACAGGTAGCAATCTCTTAAATTAAAAGATGACGGTTACCTAATTTAGAAGGGATGGTGAGGAAGAGGTATCTGGTGATACCTAAGAAGCTGACTCATCTGGACTTAGTTATTATGTGATTGATGATGGTACCAATCTAAAGAATACAAGGAAAACAAGCTGTGGGGGAAAATAATGCATTTTGGTCTGGAGTGTGTTCAGTTTGAAGTGTGAGAGGAGTGTGCAAGTGGGGATGTTCAGAAGATTGTTGGAAAATTAGACCTGACACTGTTTAAATTGATCTGTGTAGGAGATATAGATTTGAGAAGTAAATTCAACAAATATTATTTTACACATCTTCTGTGTCAGGCTCTATTCTAAGCACAAGGAATCCTACTGTCATGGAGCTTACATTCTGGGGTAGGCGGGTGAGTGAAGATGGTAACTAGGAGTTGACATTTAAGTGGTAAATGAACCTGAAACCAGATAGTGGTTGCCCCTTTTGAAATTGACTCAATAGTCCCAACCATAGAAATTGACCCTTCTGTTCTTAAAACTTAAAACTTACATTTGTTTTATCTGAGTTCCTTCCTTAGGAAAGGATCCCTAGACCTCTCAAAAAGTATCAAAGAACTGAAACTCAACAGATCATCTCAGCCAGACAATGAAAGCCTGGCCCCTCATTCACCCTGATTGCTCCTTAACCCCTCTCTAGTTCCTTTTTTCTCACACATTGCTACATTTCTTCCCTGCTATATAAGGGCCTAATTTTAGTGGTCAGGAAGATGGATTTGAGACTGATCTCCCATCTTTTCAGCTGCAGCACCTGATTAAAACCTTCTTCCTTGGCAGTACTTGTCGTCTCAGTCATTGGCTTTCTGTGCTGCAAGCAGCAGGACCTAGACCAAACTCCTGGTGTTTCAGTAACACTTTTAATATTAAAATCAATCCCACAACACTTTGCTGCTCACATCACCAAAACAGATGGATATTTACAGGACCTATTTTTCAAATCTGTTTCATAGTGTTTCTGTTTAAAACAAAAGGGCAGTTTGTATACCACCTCATTCAACCAAATTTTGAGTTGAATTAAAGTATTACATTGGATTTCTTGAACCCTAACATCAAAATATGGGCATTGCTCTACAGAAACTTAAGAAAAAAATGTGTTATACGCTCTTGTTTAATGAGTCGTTAGCTGTCAACTTTTTATTTTTATTATGTGCATACTATGTATCTAAACATTTGAATAGCATTTATTAAAACTTGAAACTATGCTATATGATATGTACACAAATTCTCTGCCTCATACACACACACACATAAACACACTACTTAATATTTCTAAACCCTTTACTAAAATCTTGTCAGCAGTGCATTTTTATGATAACTTGCTTTTTATTCTATTTTGTCTTTGTAACTTCTCTACCTTATAAAACTATAAGGACAGAGTAGTGGCAAGTGAATCCTGAGTCAGGAAATCTGTGCAAAACACTTTTCTTTAAGGCCACATCCTTCACTGGTTAAGTGTGGGGATTAGGGGAGGAGTTTCCCTCCAAATTATTATTATTATTATTATTGTTATTATTATTATTATTATTTTGAGACAGTCTCCCTCTGTTGCCCAGGCTGGAGTGCAGTGGTGCGATCTTGGCTCACGGCAAGCTCCACCTCCCGGGTTCACACCATTCTCCTGCCTCAGCCTCCCGAGTAGCTGGGACTACAGGCGCCTGCCATCATGCCCGGCTAAATTTTTTTTTTTTTTTTTTTTTTTTTGTATTTTTAATAGAGGCAGGGTTTCGCCGTGTTAGCCAGGGTGGTCTCGATTTCCTGACCTTCTGATCTGCCTGCCTTGGCCTCCCAAAGTGCTGGGATTACAGGCATGAGCCACCATGCCTGGCCTTGCCTCTAAATTATTTTAATTCTTGTTTCTTTTCTCCTCTGTAGTGTGTGTGTGTGTGTGTGTGTGTGAGTGTGTGTGTGTGTGTGTGTGTGTGTGTGTGTGTGTGTGTGTATCTATCTATCTATCTTCTTACGTTTACATTAATTCCCAGCTGGTACCCAACTATCTAAGTACACTTACCATTTACCTATCTTGATTTAAAAACTGTAATTAGTAATTAAGGGTTTCATCTAATGAGCTGCAATCTACTTTCAAGTGTAGGCTTTCTAATAGGTGGTTAGGTTAATAACCATGTTTTAGAGGTTGTATCTTTACATGAAATTGGCATAATTGTAGAATGCAAAACAAGACTCACCAGTTTGACTTTCCAATTGTGGAGATGTGCCCCACTTTTAAAGAAAGCACCATGTTTGGAAATCTAAATTTTAAAAGGTATTACATTAGGAATAATCATTCATCTGCCATAAAGGTGTACAGAATACAGAAGGGTCTGTGATAACCAAATAACCATTGGGTATTGAACTATGATTTGGCCTTTTCACAGCCATCCAAGAATGCTTCTATTGCTTAAAATACACTGTAATTTAAATACACTGAAGACTTTTTAAAAAATTTGATGGTTTATTAGTTGTTTTGTCCTGCATTTTGTTGTTTTATAAATGTTTTTAATTCTGACATTATTGAATGTCAATCTATGGATTGTGCCTTGTGTAAAGTACTGGATGAAATATTTGGGCAATAGAGGTATTGATTTATTCACAATTAATTAAACTATCTGTTCAGCAGATAATCTGTTGAGAGCCAACTATTCTAAAAATACTAAGCTCTATCTTAGAAGAATGCTACTGATTTGTGTTAACAAATAATATGTATAAATGATTCAATTATATGAAATTTTATAACAAGTTACGGTTAATACCAAAATGGTGTGTTAAATTTATATAGTGGATTGAATAGTGCCACCCAAAATTCATGTTCCTCCAGAACCTCAGAATGTGACCTTATTTGGAAATACAGTCTTTGCAGGTATAATTAAGGTAAGGATTGAAATGAGATCATATTGGACTAGAGTGGGTTCCAAATCCAATGAGAGTGTTTTTACAAGAGACAGAAAAGGACAGAGAGAGAGAAAGTCCATATGAAGACAGAGGCAGAGCTTAGAGCTTTGCTGCCGTAAGTCAAGCAATGCTAGGAGCCATCAGAAGCCAGAAGAGGCAAGGAACGATTCTCTCCTAGAGCCTTTGGAGGGCGTTTGGTCTGCTGACACCTTGATTTTGTACTTCTGGCCTCCAGAAACTTGAAATAATATAAATGTCTATTGTTTTCAGCTTTCAAATTTGTGGCAATTTGTTAAGAGTACCCCTAAGAAACGAATACAATCTGTATCTGGAGAGAGATGTAAAAATCTAACAGCCTAGCAAGAATGATTACATTGAGCTACACTCCCTCTCCTACAGTTCATCTATAAGACATCTTCACAAATATTAGCATTGTAGACACGCCAGGCTCTTAAAGAGCACGTGTTATTTCTAAATGGCTTACTGTTCAAGTATCATCAAGTTTCTATCACATTTGGTTATATTTGATAGCAAAAAAAAAAAAAAAAAATCCTCAAATTCACTTAAGAAAAAAAGGGCAGGTATTGGCTCGTGTAATTAAAATCCCAGGATAGAACGCTCTAAGTTTAGGTACAGCTTGATCTAAGATGTTAGATAATGTCACCAAAATCCAGTCTCTACTGGCTTTGGTTTTCATGTTGACTTTATTCTCAGGTTCCTCCTGGTTATATGATGGTTTCCAGAAGTTCTAGTTCTTCATTCTCTTAGGTTTGAGTCTAACTAAAAAAAAGTGAGTCATTCGATACAGTTCTCAAGTCAGAAGACACAAACCATTATAGGTGCATCAAAAAGCAGGAACTTAACACAGACTTGGTTTTGCAAAACAGTTGAGAAGGTAAACAGGAGCAGGTAAGACAACTCAGAGATTAGCAATAGTAGGAAGCCACTGTAATTCTAGGGTTTAGAGTTCAAAAGATGAGTTTAGAAACCAGGGCCATCAGCACTGGGGTGGGGGGAGTTTCCCAGTGGGACTGGGAACCATGTAGGAGATGCAATCTTTACCAGAGATGCAATCTGAGGCAAAGAGAGTGAGGGAGAAATATCCTGGCTTTTCCCTTCTCATCCTCCAGTCTCCCATCAATACCTTCCATTGATTGAACCTGGCCAAAGCCAGTTAACAGAGAAACCTATAAAATGTAGCCTGTCAGGGGTTAGCCCTCCCTCCCTAGATGAACAGAGAAGGGAAGGAAGGGAACAGATCTGAACACAAATAGGATATATTAGCTAGACTGTTGCTATGATAATGCTGTATAACAAACAACTCCCAACTTTCAGTGGCTTACAGTAGTAAACATGGATTTTTCTTGTTTGTCGATCTGCATGTTAGCTCATGGTTGAGAGGAGGGATGCTGCTTCAAGCTGTAAGTTGAGTTTAGGTGTGCTCCTTCTGTCTCTCATTCTGAGACTTGCAACTATCCAGGGCATTCATTTTTCATGGAAGATAGCGGAAGTGCAAGAGCAGCAGCAGAAACATGGGATGTCTCTTAAGGCCATCGCTCGAAACTAACACTCTCACTTCCACCCACATTCCATTGCCAAAAGCAAGCCACAAAGACAAGCTCAACATCAGTGGGTGGGGAAGTATGTTCTGCCTACTCCTGTGAGAGGCACTGCAAATTCACGAGTCAAATAACCTGACCAGACAATTCTACTACAGGGAGAGAGTGAAGAATTTGGAACAATTAATACGCACACACACACACACACACACACACACACACACACAGAGGCATGTAACTGACACTGCCTTCCTCCTAAAAATACTTCCAGCAATATATCTCATTTTCTTTAAACAAGTCACCTGCCCAATTCTAAACCAATGACTGTGACCTAAGATACGTGATATTCTGATTAGCTATGCTTGAGTCACATTCCAACTCAGGAGCTGGGGGTGGAATCAACTCCACTTACAACATATGGACTAAGAGACGGAAGAGGGTGGTTCCCCTGCAGAAATCAGAGTACTCTTACAGAAGTAAAGGCAGTGGATTCTGAGTGTCCAACAAATAAGTCAGCTAACACCCAAATGTGATATGTGATAGTGTACTAAATTTATTATTTTACGTAAGGAAAAAAGAATAAATTGTAAGTTTGTAAAAATCTGGGGAAAAGTAAAATTCTGCTGCTATAGGATCAATGAGTGAAATCAGTTTCTCATTCTGAACAACAAACAAAGAAAACAAAATTTCAAAAACAGTTACTCATATCCAGTATTTGGATTCATTAATAAAATGACTGTCCACAATGTTGTTATGAACTAGAAAACCACCACCATGAGAATTATGCTGAAGCTAGATGCTAGATCAGGTCAAGAGAGAGTACTCTGTAGGAGTCATATTTTCTTGGGATATGCTATGGTCTGAATATTTGTGTCCCCTCAAAATTCATATGTTGAAATCCTAACCCCTAAATTGATAGTATTAGGAGGTAGGGCCTTTGAGAGGTGATTAGGCCATGAAGGTGAAGCCTCATGACTGGGATTAGTGCCCTTATAAAAGAGACCCAAGAGAGCTAGCTAATGCCTTCCACCATGTCAGGGCACATCTAGAAGATGCCATCTAGGAACCAGGAAGTCCTCACCAGACATTGAATCTGCCAGTGCCTTCATCTTGGACTTCCTGGAGCTGTAAGGAATCAATTCCTGTTGTTTATAAGCTACCCAGTTTACGGTATATTTTTACAGCAGCCTAAATGAACTAACACCGGATGGGAGAGAGCAGGGTTTCTAAACCTCAGCACTGTTAACATTTTGGGCCAGATAATTGCTGAGGGAGACTATTCTGTGCATTGTAGGAAGCTTAGCATCATCACTAGCTCCTACCCACTAGAGGCCAGTAGCACCTCTACCTCCAAGTTATGAAAACCAAAAGTGTCTCCAGACATTGCCAAATGTCCCACTGCGACACAAAATCACCCCTACTCAGGACCTGGGGTGGAAGGGAAAAGGGAGAAAACAAGCAAACCCCTTTCTTTCCCCCGTCTCTATACTTTCTTTCTCATTTTGTGTAAGAGAAGATAGACCTCTGGGGAGTGCATTTTATTTGGAAGCCTAGAATATAGGTAGGGCAGGAGACAAAACCGATAGGATCATATAGTGGGGCGGCGGGGGAGGTCTCCATAGCCAGCTGCTCTCTCAAGGAGTTCTGGGTCTTTGCTCAAGTCAATGGGAAATCATCAAGTGGGATGGGGAACATGTAACCAGATTTGCATTTTAGAAAAAAAAACCACTCTACTAGTGTAGAAAATGACCCATAAAAGTGCATATCAGAGCAAGGGACATACTTCTCTTTCATAGCACTTATAATTTGTATTTTATTTTCACCAAGAGATGCTCCTATTACCCCATCACTCAGGAAATCCCAAGGCTCTTAGAAGCTGTGTCAGAAACCAGGAACAAAAACAGTATGTATTCCTTATAGCATCACAATTAGTTTTCTATGTGATGAGCATTATTGTTTGCTGTTACAAGGTCTTAACCACTTGAATAAATCCAGACCTATAGGATTAAGCTTCTTGCTCTGTCTCCAGTGCCCCACCAGTTCCGGCCTCATTTCTCACTGCTGTCTGCACAGGTGGCATGAGATCCAGAGACACCAAACTGTACTCAGCTCCCCCAAACTAGGTCTACCTTTTCAGGCATTCGGAAATTTACTTCTTTCTTCAATGTCCTTTCCTCACCAACCCTCTCCCTGGTGGGCCTGCTACTTCCCACTTACTCTTCATTAATAAGCCAAATTCCCTTATGCAATAAGTGCTGATCTCTGCATTTCACAATGGTGAAACTGAAATTTAGAAAGAGACTGTGCATCCTCCCTCCCTTCCCAGATTACGTGGTCTTTTAACATCTGTGCAACTCACCACCTTCCTCCTTTTGCTCCTGCCACCCCTTTCACCTTGAACCCCTTCCCTCCTACCTGGACCCACTGATTCAGGGCTATCCCTTTAAGTCCAGCAGAAGTACCATCTCCTCTATGAAACTTTCCCAAGTTCCAGGGTAAGCCTACGGCAAGTTCCACTGCAGCCTTTGTAACTCCCTCCGGGCAGTTACTGGGTTTTGTTCTTTTTCTTTTTTTGAAGACAGGGTGTCGCTCTGTTGCCCAGGCTGGAGTGCAAAGGTGCGATCATGACTCAATGAAGCCTCCAACTCCAGGGCTCAAGCAATCCTCTTGCTTCAGTCTCCCAAGTTGCTGGGACCAGCACAGCCCCTGGCTGATTTTATTCTATTTTTTGTAGAGACAGGGTTTCCCCTATGTTGCCCAAGCTGGTCTCAAACTTCTGGGCTCAAGCAATCCTCCAGCCTCAGGCTGCCAAAGTGCTGGGATTACAGGTGTGAGCCATTGCGCTCAGCTCTTGTTACTGGGTCTTAATCATTTCTGTATCCTCCATGGAGTTTAGCAAATGAATCTTGTACTTACTGGGAACTCAAGACATTTGCGTTGTATCAGAATCCAATTGATGCTAGCCTCAACACAGTTTTCCACTGACTGGTTATTTTTAGAATTCCAGGGTTGTCCTAGTATTTTGATACAAAAAAACTGCTTGCTAATCATGTTCCACTTTGGCTAATTTTAGGAGAAAGGGAGATATAAACCCATTACTTATAGAAGGTGTTTTATTGTATTCACCAAAGGATAATGGAGAGAAGAATGCAACAGTGTAACAATGAAGGAAGGAAATGAAGTAATTCCTGCTTTGGGGGAAGTATACAGCAGCTGTGCACCCAGCTGTAGGAATGTTTTCAAAAGCAAAACAAAACAGAAAGATGATTGGATACAATGAAGCCAATGGAGCACTTTCAAGAGAGGAAAGGGAAGGTCCCATCACTGCAGTTAGCTGCATACTCTGAATTTGTGAATCCTGCCTCAAGACTAACTATGGGAGAAAGGATTGCTTGAGGGAATATTTTATGTGAAAATTGTTAACTTTTCTGTTTGCTATTCTCTTTGAACTTCAAAGAAAAGGAAATGATCAGAGGACTATTACAAATTCACCAGGACTTTTTCAGGGATGACAAAAGTTCCATTGACGTAATGAAAGACAGTATCTTTCTGTAAATTATCCCCTCAGATTCAATAGGATGTCTTTCAACATTTAAAGAAACGAGTTTGTATATTTATCAAACTTTGTTCCCAAAGAAAAGCCTGTTGCCATTATGTTTGCTTTATTGCCAAAATTGAATACAACTCTTTAATAAAATATAAGCAATATGGTAAGATGAAGAGCAAAATGAGATTTTGCCTAGTTCAACAGATAGAATTGAAGTAACCATCAATTTGATTGGGCAAACAGGGCTTGCCAATTAGAATGCAGGATTCCCTGGAGCCTTTTAAAATACAATGTAGAGAAAGTCTTTCTATCTAGCCCAATATTTACAGTTATGGAAGTTATACATGTAATTACAACATAAATATCAAGATTTCTTGAGTGAAACTGGGTACAAGTGAAATAAAGAAAAGTTATACTTCAGATTAATATCATAAGAGAGAAAAAGGAGCTAGACCCCTCCCCTGTGATCCCCATCACTGCACGTCCCAGATTTCACAGAGAAGAGGGGTAAACTTGTGATCGTTTACTCTCCATGACATCAGCATCTCAGCATGGTGATGATTGAATGTCCGTAATTCAGTCAGGCGACCCAGGAGACAGGCAAAGTGTTGAGGGTTTTCAGGTTGGTGAATCTTACACAACTTTTGTAGCACATCAAGAAGTGGCTCCTGAAGCTTCTCTACTGCCTCTCTATCCTTTATGTATTGTCTATCTGTTTTGAAGTTTAAAATAAAATGACAAAATTAAAAAGTGGAAAAGCATTAATTCAGCATAATTATAGCAACGTTAACTATTTCGAAGTGTAAGTTAAATGTTGTACACAAAATGTAAAAATTAAGTGTTCAACCTGATGAATTTTTATGCACACACACATGTAATTATAATGAGATCAAGATACAACACACGTAATGCTTCCCAGAAGCCTCCCTAATTCCCCTTCCAATCAAAACCCCTAAAGATAACCTGTAGGGTGGACATCAGCATCCTTGCTGTTGAGTATATTCTCAGAAGTGAAATGACTGGGTCATAGGACATATCCATGCACAACTTTAGTAGGTTCTGCTGAATAGCTTTTCAGTCACAAGTCATAATTTTTATGGTAAAGCAAAATAACAACTAGCTTCTGCCTCAATATAGTGTATAAAAATGGTCTAAGGCTAGCGTTGTTTTTATGCTTTACAAATCATGAACATGGCATCATTCGACTCCCAAATTATTAAAGTAACCCAAAAATATAGAAAAAAAAATATGGAAAGAGGTATTCATTTCAACAACAAAAAAACTGTTGAAAAAAATATTTTCAACAACAAAAAAACTGGAAATATCCTGAATATACAAACATGTTGTAAAGATTAAGTAAATGATTGTATATGCATACAATGGAATACGTAGCACATATTACAACTTTACCAATGTAAATTTTTAATGACTTGGGAAATGACTTTTGAAGAAATATAAACTCAGAAAAAAGTTCCCTATTATGTTAAAAAGTATGTAATTTCATTTAGATCCCTGCTCCAATGCCACCCACTTAGAAAAGCCTCCTGTGACCACGAATTAAAACACCATTTTTGTGCCACTCTCTTTCTTTATATTCTCATTACATTTTTTGTAGCATTTACCACCTTCTGAAAAAATATTATTGTTTCTTCATTTATTATCTTTCTCATCCTACCAGAATGCAAGTTGCATGGGAGCTGTGTCTTATTGCATTCCCAGGGTTTAGCACCATGGTTAGTACACAGTAGGTGTTCAATATACATTTATTAAATGAATAAGTGTGATTTTTTAAAAAAGACTGAGAAGAAGTGTACGGAAAGGTTAATAATGGTTCTATTTGGATGGTAGAATTATAGGCCACTTTACTTTTTCTTTATATTTCTGTGTCTTCCAGATTTTTTTCAATAAATGTTATTACTAGTATACTGAAAAAAAATGGCATAAAAATTAAAATGTAACATTGAAATTACCTGGAGAGAGGATAACAATTGCTGTAAGCAGAGCATACTCCTCTTGAGTCATTTTCAGTTCCCCAATACTTTTATAAAAACTAAACATAGGTGTTATATATTCATCAGAGATACCTATGGGGGAAAGTTGCAGTCATAATAAAATTTTTGAGTGATGAAACAGTGTAAAACTAGAAACACATTATCCATATAAACACATGCTAATTTTGCAACTATATGCACACATTCAAATAATGACTGTATATTTATTATTTTTGTTATATGTCCAAAGGAAGGATATTGCAAAGACAATCAGTTGACAAAATTCTCAAAACATAGCCAAAGCAATGAGTGTATGTCTAATTTTGGCAGTGTCTTTGTTTCAGTCACTACTGAATAATCAATGATAATGCTGATGAATTGCCAAAAGAATTTCAAAAACGTCTCCATTTTCCAGGTGAGATTTAGTGAATCTTTTGAATATGACTATCGATAATTAAGGCAGAGATCACATCTTAAACAACTAACAAAAAATGGTAGTTCTTCAGTCCATAAGTATAGACAGCTTCATTTCTAAATGGGCCAGTGCTCTTATCAAAGGGTTCTGATCTCTTCCTGAAGCACCAAGCCATTACCTACCAAGCGTCAGTACTTGGCTGTTCTCTTCAAACCCAGTATGTCCAAAATCAAAGACACCATGTACTACAGAACTAAGCTCCCCCATGTTTCTCCAAATCCACTTCTTTCCTGGCGTTCCCATTCTTGGTGAGTGGTATCCACACCACCCAACTCCCCAGGCCTGACAACTGAGATTCAGGGACCCAGGCCTGTGACTTCTCCTGCTCACTCTCACCTGATGCTCCCTCTCCTCTTTATCGCACCTGGCATTTACTTAATTTAAGCTTCCAACTCTCTTCATCTGGATTACCGCAGTTGCTCTTCACTGGCCTTTCTGTCTTTAGTTTGATTCCCTTTGATCCATCCTCTATCCAGGTACTGGAATGACCTTTCTAAAAATCAAATCACACACTTTCTCCCTACTTCTTACAAAAACCATCTAAACCTCCCCATGGCTTTAGGCATATAGTTTTAATTTTCTTCCTTTTAACGTAGGAGCCTCTAGGACCTGTACCCTGCCTATCTCACTATTCACAATAAGAAGATTAATAGTAGGAGTAGTCATTATGTATTGTGCAATATTTTAAGCATTTAATATACCATAATTCATTTAATAGTTGTAAACCCTATGAGGTAGATACAGAGAGGTTATATAACTAGCCCAAAGACACTCGGCTGAGAGAGGTGGAACTAGGATTCAAACCAAAGCTGGCAGGCTCCAAAGTCCTGACAGTGGCAAGGCTAAGCTGCACTCCATCACACTGCATTTCCTGTAGCCACCCTCGGCCACTTGTAGTTCCCTAAACAATTCACATTGCCCAGTTTTTGTACATGTTGTGCTCTCTACTTGAAATATCCCTTTTCTCTTTCATCTAGCTCACTCCTCTTTGTCAGTTAAGACTTCTAACCAGGTGCAGTGGCTTACACCTATAATCCCAACACTTAGGGAGGCCAAGGCTGGAAGATTGCTTGAGCTCAGGAGTTTGATACTTGCCTGGGCAACATGGCAAAACCCCGTCTCTACAAAAAACTACAAAAGTTAGCTGGGTGCAGTGGCACATGCCAGTGGTCCCAGCTACTCAGGAGGCTGAGGTGGGAGGATCACTTGAGCCTGGAGGTTGAGGCTGCAGTAAACTGTGATTGTGCTACTGCACTCCAGTCTGTGTGACAGGGTGAGATGCTGTCTCTCTTTTTTTTTTTTTTTTTTGATACAGAGTCTCGCTCTTGTTGCCCAGACTGGAGTGCAGTGGTGTGATCTTGGCTCACTGCAACCTCCGCACCCTGGGTTCAAGTGATTCTCCTGCCTCAGTCTCCTGAGTAGCTGGGACTATAGGCGTGTGCCACCATGCCCGGTTAATTTTTTTTTTTTTTTTTGTATTTTTGGTAGAGACAGGGTTTCACTATATTGGCCAGGCTGATCTTTAACCTCTGACCTTGTGATCCACCCGCCTCAGCATCCCAAAGTGCTGGGATGCCACCACACCCAGCCAAAGATGCTGTCTCAAAAAATAAAAAAGACTATTAGTGCCACTTCCTGCATTCAATAAATATTACCTTGGTGCCTGTTCTGTGCATTGCTTTATTCCACAAGAGCCATTGGATGGAGAATCATGGTCACAGAAAAACAAAACAAAACAAAGAAACCTGTGATGTGACTTATGGATTAATTGAGATGAGGATGTTTCCCAGGATTGGTCCAGATGAGAATAGACTGCTCCATTTCTTCCAAACCAGATCCAGAGTTAAAGAGCTTTGGCTGAGCAAATCAGAATAAACTTTGATTCCAGACGCTAAAGAGTACAATTATCATCTAATGGTATACTTACCAGAAAGCCTAAATTCTCACTTTTAGAAGAGTGTCGTAAGTGAAATAACTCAGAAGCAGAAAATCAAATACCACATGTCCTCACTAAAAAAGGGGTACACATGGACATACAAATGGAAATAACAGACACTGGCAACTCCAAAAGGCGGGAGGGTGGGAGGAAGGTGAGGGTTGAAAGATTACCTATTGGGTACAATGTTCACGATTTGGATGATGGATGCATTCACCAGAAGTCCAAATCACATCGTTACACAATACATCCATGTGAAATAGTTTGGATGCATGTCACCTCTAAATCTCATGTTGAAATGTAATCCCCAGTATTGGAGGTGAGGCCTGGTGGAAGGTGTTTGGATCACTGGAGCAGACCCCTCATGAATGGCTTAGTGCCCTCCCCATGGTAATGAATGAGTTCTTACTTTATTAGTTACTGTGAAATATGAACGTTTAAAAGAGCCTAGTATCTCTCTTTCTCCCTGTCTCACCATGTGACATGCCTGCTCCCCTTTCACCTTCCATCATGAGTAAAAGTTCCCTGGGGCCTACCCAGAAGCTGAGCAGATGCTAGTGTCATGCTTGCACAGCCTGCAGGACCATGAACCAAATAAGTCTCTTTCCTTTGTAAATTACCCAGTCTCAGGTATTCCTTTATAGCAATGCAAAACAGATTAACGCACCATGGAACAAACCTGCACATGCACCTCCTGAATCTGAAGTAAAATTAAAATAAATTAAAATAAAATGAATACAAAAAGGAAAAAAATTACTTCTAACATGCATGGACACAGCTCTCATTTTCTCTATCTTACAGTGGTGCAAATGGTAGTAAAAGATCCCGAAGTACGCTAGGATTTCTTCTTTTCAATAATTATACCCATCCTTTCCGTGGATACAGTATTTCATATTTTTCAAATATGTAAACAAATTTGATTCTGTACAAGAATCCTGTGCGGGAAGTACTGATAAGCCAGTATTACTATCCCTATTTCGGACTTGAGAAAGTAAGGCTCAGAGAGGTAAGCTAAGTTTACTAGCATAATAAATGGAAAACCCAAGTCTACATTTTCTGAATCTTGATCCCACACACATTCCCAAACTACCTTTGATGAAACACATATACATGCCATGAGACAGGTCTCTTAGGCAGCTGTAATCATGGGTAACCTACTTTAAGAAAATCTTAGCTATAAACATTCAGATGAAATAATGGGCAAATAATAAAGGAAGGTGATGAATTATTTTGTACTTTAAAAGAGAGGTGTTTTTGTTTGTTTGTTTGTTTGTTTGTTTTTGAGATGGAGTTTTGCTCTTGTTGCCCAGGCTGGAGTGCAATGGTGTGATCTCAGTTCACTGCAACCTCCACCTCCCGGGTTCAAGCGATTCTCCTGCCTCACCCTCCCAAGTAGTTGGGATTACAGGCATGCACCACCACGCCCAGCTAATTTTGTATTTTTAGTAGAGACAGGGTTTCTCCATGTTAGTCAGGCTGGTCTCAAACTCCCAACCTCATGTGATCCACCCGCATCAGCCTCTCAAAGTGCTGGGATTACAGGCATGAGCCACCGTGCCCATCCTATAAAGAGAATTACATGATTTATTTAATTTTTTGGATTTATTTAATTTTTGAGCACAATAAATGTTTAAATATTTTTTAAAAAACAGTCTTCCCAAATTAAATCCTTGCCCTTTTCCTCTCTGGTCAAAATACCACCCTCTTCTCCCCTTTGACTTTGATTCTTTAATTGACCCCAGTGGACTCTATTAACAACAATGTCTTTGTTGAGCAGTTTGGGGATTACATCATGTGGGACATTGCCCTTTATCCAGCTGTTACAGAATGAACTAAATACCCATGACCCAACTAGATACAACTTAAAGTGCAGAGGATTGGAGAATGTGAGCCTGGAGAACACCAGTCCTGGCTTCCAGCAAACCTAGTGGTTAAGAGGTCATAAGCCAGCTCTGAGTTTGAAACCAAACTCCACGACTTGGTCTTGGGACATTACTTTAACTCTTTAAGCCTTCATTTTCTCATCTGTGAAATGTTGTCACATGTAATATAATGTGTACTCCATATAACAGTAGTGTTACGTGAGATATATAGAGAGTGCTTAGCACAATGCCAGGTTCATAATAAATCCTCAAAAAATGTCAAGTAGATAATTATAATAGTAGCTATTATTATCATTATTCAAGAGAACTGAATCAACACATTAGTCCATCTTAATCTCAGTTCATCTTAGTCTTAGATTAAACGTGTGAACTTTTGTCTTTACAAAGCCATGTTGGTTTTTAAAAACCAACAAATTCTGCAAATTACTGGGGATAAATACAAACTGGCTGATCGGTGATTTGCCTCAGTATTTTTCCAGGTATTAAAGCTACACTAAGTTCTCTATTTTCTTGGTAAGGTTGTTCTTTATCATCTTCAAAAAAATGTCAATCTTTATGCTTTCTTCAGCATTCAGAGGCTACACTCATCAGTTGTGGTTACCTAAAATAGTAATCTATGACTATGCCATTAAATTAAATAGTACATGAAGATTTGGGGATGATATTCAAGACAGCTGATTTGAAAATATTAAAATTTTTAAAAATTGCTTTGATTACCGAATTTCCTATTTCATTTGCCTTTCTAAATCCCCACACACCCTCCAGAGATGTTGCCTCCATTAGCTATCTAATTACAATT